GGGGGGGAGGAAGAAGGAGAAAGAGGGGGGAACCGGCAAATTCTCTTTACTCAAGACGCCGCGGCGGAGGCGGCTCTCCCCTGGAGATGGTCAGAGAAAAAGCCGCTCCATCCCGCGGCACGGATGCGGCGCCCGGCTCTCTGCTGGGCTTCTAAACCCTCGGCCATGGCGCGAATCGACCCTCGGCCCGTTCTGCCCGGGACCCCCACCACACCAGAAGGCCGGCCCGAGGGGCGCGGCGAGAGATGGAGGACGACCACCAACACCACTCGCCCGCTGAAACGTGCTCGCGCCCCCCGCCACCCGCTGTTCTTGTGCCGCCCTCTGCCGCTCTCCAAAGCCACAACACCACTGCTCCGCCTGCCCGCCCGGCCGAACCCCCCACACCACGGGCAGCATGAAGGACAGCACATCCGACACAGCTGCCGCCCGACCGCCATTCCCCGTCCTGGGTGGCCGCAGCCCAAAGCCCGATGCGTTGGCAATATGCGGTCAAAATAACATTCATGGGTGCTGGGTTGAGCCACGAAATCAGTACGACTCCAGCTCGTCATCGCCCTCCGACATGGGGGCTTCCATCTCGGGCTCGTCGTCGGTGATGTCGTCCTCGCCCACCGGCCGGCGGGAGGCAGCAGACTTGCCATCTGCCAGCGGCAGCAGGCCCCCCTCCGAGGCCTCGCTTTCCTCGGCGCCATCGGCCCCGGGGGGGACACACTCAACCACCTGCGCCGTGTCGGTCAGGGCGGCGATCAGCCAGTTGGCCTTGTCGAGAGCGCCCGTGACGGCCGCCCGCTCGGTGCTCAGGTCCTCCAGCTCCCGAGCCTGGGTCTGGATCTGGGCCAGAAGGTTGTCACGCTCGCGCTCAACCTCGGCAAGGCGATCTGGCAGGTGTGATGTCCACGCGTATGTGCACAGGGTCAGCTATGGGCCAGGAGCAGTGGCGGAAGGCGGAGGAGAGAAGGGTGGCATGGAGAGAGGGACAAGGAGGTGGAAGAGAGAGAGGTGAAGAAGAGGAGGAGGAGGAGGAGGAAGAGGCAAACAAGGAAGCAGAGCGTACCCTTGGTCGACTGAAGCTCGGTCGTGTCCTCAGTCGGGGCCGCATCGGGAGCAGACGACTGAGGCGTGCATATTAGAGGGCGTTAGACACCTGGCAGAGGGAAGGGGAGAGAAGGGGGCAGGGGGGGCAGAGAGAGAGAGAGAGAGAGAGAGAGAGAGAGAGATCGGGGTTGGTCATACCTCGGCGGAGGCCTGGTCGGCGACACGGCGGACCAGCTCCTCATTCTCGGCGGTCAGCTGCGCAAGGCGGGCCTTCTCCGCGCTGAAGGCCTTGGCCAGGCGCTCGAAACGCTCGGTGGTCATGGACACTTGGCCCTCCAGGTGGGCAATGCGGCCGGACGCCTCGGCAGCCGTATCGGCCAGCGACTGACGCACAGCCTGGGTCTCGGCCTGGGCACTGGCCAGCTGCGCCTGGCTGCTGGCCAGCTGCTCGGCCTGCCCGGCCTGCTCGGCCTCCAGGGCAGCGACGCGCTCATGGGCAGCCTGGAGATCGGCCTCCAGGGCGGCCGTGCGCTCGGAAGCAGCCTGGAGATCGGCCTCCAGGGCGGCCGTGCCAGCGGTGTCATCGACAACCGGGGCATTCTGCGCGTCGCGAACATCCGCCTCCAACATGGCAATGCGCTCAGTGGCCGCCTGAAGGTCAGTCTCCAGTGTTGACACACGCCCAGTGGCCACGTCCAAGTCGGCCTTCAGGACTGACGCTTGCTCGGTGGCGGAAGACAAATCAGCCTCCAAGGCGGTGATTCGCTCGGTGGCCGAGGTCACTTGAGCTTCGAGAGCGGCAGTGCCCTGGGCAGCCTTCTCGAGATCAGCCTCGAGGGCGGTCGCACGCTCGGCGGCAGAGCTCAACTCCGCCTCCAGGGCGGTCGCACGCTCGGCGGC